TGAATCGTGCATGCTACGGCTCCCCGTAGTCTTACAATACTCTCTGTTGTTTACTCGTGCCTAATACGGCTCCCCGCAGTCATACAATACTCTCTCTCACTGACTCATGCATTCTATGTCTCCCTGCAGTCTTACAATTCTCTCTTACTGACTTGTGTATGCTATGGCTCCCCACAGTCATATGATAATCTCTCTTACTGACTCATGAATGTTACGGCTCCCCGTAGTCTTACAATACTCTCTCACTCGCCATGGGCTCACCCCATGATTTTTCCCTGACAGTCCTAAGTGATTACTCCCACCCAGATCCACTCACTCTCTTATCATCCCACAATCTCATCATCAAGTCATCACCACACTTAGTTCACTAGCTTATGCCCCGTGGTCCATAATAGATATGTGCACACACCTACCTAGATTATGCATTGCTACTCTTGACGAAAATTCTCGTAGACAAGGCACTTTCCTCATCACAGTTACACCTTTGGACAATCCTCATCTGGCAACAATTAACTGATGGTCTCACATCTGGAAATATAGTCGCTTGATGCTTCAATTGCCGTCCGAAAAACCCAAAACATCATAATAACCCAACTATTTAGGCCATCATACTCGGATACCCCGATACATCATCACATAATCTCACAATAGCTTGCCACGACCACAGATCTTCCGCTTACACAACTCGAAACCCTGAAGTACTCCAACTCATAGCTTGAAGCACAGAGGAATCATCAATGACTGAGAACGCGTTTATGACAACCCCAAACCCTACCCTCTACTAATCAAAACCCATGCAAAATTACTCATACTGACTCTGAAGTTGATTGACAAATCAACTTCTGCCCTTCCCAGAGTACATATAACAATCTATACGTCGAACTATAAATATTTCGACAATCGAATCTTGACCTCAACAACCCACCCATCTCAAAACGCAATATTATCACGCCCAAAGAAACACGGATCATAATCAGATTCCTACTCAACGACCACCTGTCGTGAAGACACTCATTCTCTCCTAAGCATATGCAACATGCATCATCCCACTCTGTGCGTTGCCTTGACTACCACATGACCCCAATATCATATACTCGGACCACATATCCCCATAACCCAAACTTTTGTATCACATCAAATTGAGGATCCCCCTCACAAAATACCCGGTCCTCCCCCACTTAGGGTTCGAACCATCGTCTATTGACATACCAACAGACCACACTACAGATTGGCTCACCAGATGTGTTATTCCCAACTCATGGAACGCACACGCAACACTTTATGACCTTCTAGATAATGACCTAATAACTCCAAGTATCTCGAATCTCAGAAGAAAACCTCGAAATCCTCCCAATGTGACTACCTCTAGTTACTCCAAAATCTCATAACGACACTTTATCGGATATCTTGACTATCCCGAATTAGTTACGAATCTCAACATGAAATAATGAACTATCATGCATACCTCATCTCCGATTCCTAACCCAACATTTGATCATGTGAATTATCATAGAAGCAGGAGACCCCACTCTCACAGTCGATATACAACATAAACAACGAGGGTCACCGCCCCGATATACTCCTCTTGATCACCTGGATCTGTTGCTAAAGTATGCCTTACTATACTCAACTAAGGCATATTCTTTTCCTCATCCATCTTAGTCCCCACTGATGACTCTCTCACGGTATCAGAAATACCTCGCTGCAGACATATTACAAAATGCTCTGATGAAAATATCGCAACTATATGCTACCTCATGGGGTTTACCTCCAAGCTCTGAAACTGGAAACTCGTTATCTCTTTTGCTCCACACGGGAAATGGAAATATTGTAGTTCTTATAACAGAAAGTGATGTCTCAACCATAGGCCGATCGCTCAATCCAAACCGCAATCCTCCACAAAACATCATCTCCACTTTTCCTTGAGTCATGCGACTCCAACTGGCACCTCATCAGTCAAACCCCTCGGGGTCTAAACTCAATATTCCTTGCAAGGCATACTCCATTGAAGCTCAGCCGACATGGCCCCCTGGCCCCACAATCTACCATATCTACTCGCAGTCTGAACAAACACAGTGGGATAACTGGTAAAAACGGAAGCACACTCTGCTACGAATCATGGTACCCGAACCCTGTTATCTCCCTTCAATCTGCTGCTTAGAACCTCTGGAATTCTCCTTGTTTTGAGTAATGGTCCTCTACTTTCAGTAGTACGGGATCATGCTACCTTCCACATCTACCTATACTTTCTACACGGATCGTCTCAGATCTCCTAAGTAGTTGATCAACCTTCTCGATCAACCAATCCCATTACACATGCTCGCTCTCTAACAAATACTCACCTCGAAACAGATCACTTATTGGGATAAAATTATCCCCTAGGCTCCCGTAGGTTATCACACTTCTCTGCCATTATCTGCTGAATAACTCCTCATGATGCCATCCATCTACCTCCTAAATATCGTCATATTCACTTAGTAGCTAACTCTCATCATTCAAGAATTCCACAAAGCGCAAAGCAAGCAGCATTCGGGGATCGAATAACCTCCACCAACACATAAGACCACTCTAGCATACAACTCCACTCACTCTATCCACAACTCAAAGGCATCGCTGAACTCAAGTAATCCCACCCTCGTGGGTATCTAACTACTTTCTCGTTAGATTCCTCGAATGCACATCTAGGTATCTCTCCTAGATTACTCCTCTACTCAAAGCTCTCTCTAAAAGATTCCTGCTAGGTACTCCTACTTAGCACATACATAGAGCAACTAACAAATAATATCAATCAATAGCATCCCCCAGCCGAAGGCATCATGAATCAGATAACTCTAGCTCTAAATTCCTGAAATACCTAGCTTATCCTCTAGCATGAAACTCTAATATCTCATGAGTATCTCATAATATAAACAAGTAATGGTATTTTGGGAAAATCACCGTTCGGGCTCTGGATGATTGTACACACTGCTCCGTCTCGTTTTCTCTTAAAAGCTCTTACTCATTTTAGAAAAAAATCATTTCTTTTTAGAAAACTTTCTCAAATCCTTAGTTTGAGTCGAGACATAACCGAGAGTACATCCGAATACCTCAAACCAAGGCTCTGATACCAACTTGTAACACTCTAAATTTTCAAATAAAATTTTTATTTTAAAACCACATAAAACACAATCTCACATTTCTCAAAACACAAAATGCATAAGTTGTTCAAAACAGAAGATAACAAAAGGTTTTATAATATCCCGGAATCCTCAAAACATAATCTCTACCTGGTGTGTACAATCAAGCTGGCACCTTCCCGCGATCCTGAGAGGTACCTGAAATACATATCACACAACACTGTAAGCACGAAGCTTAATGAGTTCCCCAAAATACAACATACACAAATAATAAGTCTCTCATGGCTATAGCTCGGCATGGACCCTCGGGTCATGCATCTCGGTGAGGACCCTCTGATCTTACGGCTCAGTATGGACCCTCCAGTCATGTGTCTCACTGAAGACCCTTCGGTCTCACAGCTCGGGTTGGACCCTCCAGTCCTGTATCTTAGTGAAGACCCCCCGGTCTCACAACTCGGTTTGGACCCTTCGGTCCTAACTCAGTAAGGCATATACTAATATATAGCATAAATCACAAAGACAAAATGCATAATATCACATAACCCAGTATAATCACGTAAAACCCTTCGGTCAATAACTCAAATAAGACCCTCCGGTCATACAATATTACCACTCAGGTAAGTATAGTGAGAAGACTCAGCTCGCCTAGTAAAGCAATATATTCCACACTCGAATTGCTAGTCTAGATTCCGCCTCTCCATAGTCTCCAAAATCCACAACTTATCTAAAACCCTAGTGTTAACAAAAGTCAACAGTCAAAGTTGACCCTACTTGTCGAGTGCTACTCATGAACTCGTCGAGTTCCTCAGTGCTCAGTAAACCTCAAAAACCCAAGTTAACTCGCCGAGTTGCTAACTAACTCATCGGGGGTCCATGCATAGTCCAGAAGATCAAGGAAAACCCTAGCCACTCGTCGATTTGTCCCAGCAACTTGTCGAGTTCACTTTGAATCCAAAAATGGGAAAACCTGACTCCACTCGTCGAGTTGTCTCATCAACTTGCCGAGTTATAACGCATCCAGACTATTGGGGAAAACCCTAACCAACTTGTTGAGTTGGTTCATCAAATTGTCGAGTCCCTTCAGTCCCTTCTATCATTCAGACGTTTTTAAGAAGAACTAAGGCCCTATACTCTAGATCTAGCATTTTAAGGCTGAAATATCATGTAAAGCTGCAAGTTTACGTCCATGCATGGCATTAGGCTCAAAATGCCAACACAAAGCTCTATAGAGGGTTTAATGCATGAAAGTTGGCCAATAGATTGATAAAGCTTGAATCTTTATCCCCAAAGAACCTCATACTGTCCAGATATGAAGTCTCAACTTCATGGAATGCTCAAACAACTAAAAGACTCAAAGGGAAGATGGAAATGGCCATAAACTCCCTAGTGAAGAGATCTAACAAAACAAATGATCAAGGTGATATCTTTTTACCTCCAAATAGTAGCAAGCACTAAAAGAATACTAGATCCAAGGGCTCTTTCTCGTTCCAAGCCTTTTGCTCCTCTCAACTCCTTCCAAGAATGCACTAAAACATACAATCTTAGCCTCTCTCTCTCTCTCTCTCTCATGGTAATAGCTTGATAAGGGTTTCTCTCAGTGTGTTAAGGTGATAAGGGAGGCGGAATGAAAGGATTATGGTCCTTTAATAGGGTACAAACCTTGAGAATTAGGGTTTTCACACTCAACTCTTACTCGTCGAGTTGGGGTCCTCCAACTCGTCGAGTAGACTCTAAAAATCACGCGACCATCTCAACTCCTACACGACGAGATGGGACCAACCAACTCATCGAGTAGGTCCTATAATGTGAGTAAAATTCTCACGTTCCACATCTAGGAAATCAGGGTGTTATAGCTATTATGGTATAAAAAAGAAAGCATGATAATTATTGAAAATTCCAGATGAAACTAACCTTAAATGGAAGCATAAAACCAACAACGGTATACTTATGTGTTTTCTTCGACTCAGGATTGGTTTCCTTAAATAGTCTAAAATTTTCAATTTTCTCAAACATTCCATGCATCAACTTCGAAGTATAACTCCAAAAATACGTACCCCATGGAAACCTGCAATTTTCATTTTAATCATTATACTTATTTTGTATTTATGAAAAAAATAAAAAATGTAGCACCTGTTCCAATCACATATATTATCTACAAGCTTATATACTGCTGTGGAAATGCTCGTTTTCACGTCTTGTCCGTGGAGACCTTTCAACATAAAAACAAGTTGGATAAGCAGTATTGCATCTGCATCATGAAGTCGCATATGTTGTGGAGACATAATGTACTCTGTTAGATGTTTGACCCGCAAAGTTGCATCTGTAATGTTTGGGAACAACCGAACCCAAAGATTTGAATTTGAGTGGCCTCTTTCTTCATGGAGTAAATCTACATAAGGACCAACTCTTAACCCACTTATCAAAATATACTTTGTTTCACCAAATTTCAACTGCACCCCCTGTATCTCAAATCGAAACCTCCCTTCTACAAACACTTCCTGAGACCGTACCTCAAGCAACATCATCAAATGCACGAGTAAGGGGTCACCATTGGGGACATGCATTCCTAAGAATTTTCCAAACGGTGAACCTTCAAATATTGCTCGTTGGGATTTAGTTAGCCGCGAAAAATAGTCTTTAATGATGGTACGACGGCTCCTTTTATCGTTAAATTGCCTTTTTGTCGGAGATCATCATACTACAACACATAAAAATTTAATTTAATATTAAAGGTTAGTAATTGAAATAAAAAAAACAAGGATTTAAAATTACAAAGTAAAATGAGTTAAGACAATAAATAGCAACGCACTTTCAATTTACCTTTTAAAACTACCCAATTATACCATTGACATCAACATATAAACAAAACAATTTTTCACTTTTGTATAAAGTGTAATCAATTGAAATTACATTGCTATAAAAGGACAGAAAAAAATTAGGTCACTTCGTGGATGTATAGGTTAACATGTGGAGCTCCTTCTCTGGATTGATCTACATCTCCGCATAATGGATCTTTCCTCATTTCCGTCTTCTTCCCTAATTTTTCTTTATTTTCAGGTTTTTCATTCCCTCTATTTGCAAGTTTTTCATTCCTTTTTCATATGCATTTATATCCTAAATCTAAATATTACGAAAATGAAATACATAAATATTAAGAATATGAAAACATAATACACAGGAGCTATATCCATCTGCGAAAACATTGGGGAAATCATTATCTATCTCCACTCATCAGCGAGGATTGGCTGGGGAGTTCCAATAGATCGTTGCAGAGGCGACGACCCAAAAGCGTAGAGGGGACCAATGAGGAGAAACGCGGTGGTGACCGGGAGACTCGATGACCAAAATAATGAGGGATATGAAGGGGCCAAAATTATGAAAATAGCCCAATTTATTTACAATTACGCCATTCCACAGAGGGTTTTGTAAGACTGCGGAGCACGTATAGGGGACCTCCGTGGAAGACATATCTATATCCATTTTTTGTGGCTAAATGTTGTAATTCCCTCCAAAAAAAAAATATGTATTAGTGGTATATACCTTATTTTGTTACACATCATTCAAATAATTTCGAAAAATGTATTGTTATATTTAACTTTTTGCGTTTGATGCAAAAATTTATGTCTTCGTCGAATAAACCAAAATCATAAGATATATTTTCTAAGAGAAATTTACAAAAATAGCCATTTACACTAATGACATTACAAAAATAGCCAAAAAAAATCGAAATTACAAAAATAGCCTACGATTTCACAGATGAGAAGGCCCCATCTATGAAATTACCTTCTCATCTGTGAAAGTACAAGCACCTAAAGCACAGTTGTGCTTTAGGTGCTTGTACTTTCGTAGGTGGTTTTATATATATATATATATATATAATATATATATATATATATATATTTTTTTTTAATTTTTTTGCTGTATATATAGGGGTAATTTCGTAGATGGAATAGGTCTATCTGTGAAATCCTCTGACTCTATCTGTGAAATCGTTGTTTTTTTTTTTTTTTTTTTTAGGTTGACTATGAAATGGTTTGGTTTGACTACGAAATCAGGTTGCTATATAAATAATTTTGTAGAAAAAATATCATTTTGGTTGTTATTTGTTTAGGAACTCTCTCTACAATTTACTCAAAAAATGATTGAAAACAAACCATTTCATAGTCAACCTAAAAAAAAAAAAAAAAAACAACGATTTCGTAGATAGAGTCAGAGGATTTCGCAGATGGACCTATTCCATCTGCGAAATTACCCCTATATATACAGCAAAAAAATTAAAAAAAAAATATTAAAACCACCTGCGAAAGTACAAGCACCTAAAGCACAGCTGTGCTTTAGGTGCTTGTACTTTCGCAGATGAGAAGGTAATTTCACAGATGGGGCCTTCTCATTTGCGAAATCGTAGGCTATTTTTGTAATTTTAATTTTTTTTGGCTATTTTTATAATGTCATTAGTGTAAATGGCTATTTTTGTAAATTTCTCATTTTCTAATAAATTTATAAAACAAAAACATTTGTCATTGGCTTAGCATGAAGATACAACTAATAACGAGATGCATTTCTTTAAATTATTTTATAATTTTATCTTCCACTGTTTTGACAATTTCATCAAAACATTTTCTTTTTCATTTCAAACTTATTTAAATTTGAGCATATTAAGAAAAATTGGTTCAAAATTGAACGGTAACAACATTAGGTATGGACTGGTGTTATAACGCCTTCTTACATATCATATCAGCCTTAACACTGCCATAACACCATGTAGGAAATGGTGTTTCAATGTTAGAACTTGTTAAGAGGTAGAAAAATATGGAGAGAGAATGAGAGAAAGAGGAAGAGAAATTAATTTTATTGGTTCTTATTCGCGTTTTGATACGTTGTAACGCCCACAAGATGCAACACAACAAGAAAAAAAAAGGGGGGGGGGGGGGGGGGGGGGGGGGGAGGGCGGTGTGCAACGAGATGCAACGCCGTTTTGGGCGTCTACCTCAGCCGCAACGAGTCTCAACGAGACCCATACCTTACACTCTAAATAAGTAGATGTTTGTTTAAAAAGCATGAACATTTCGGTTAATAGTATGAGAAGTAACTAACTCGACTCGGGATGTGACACAACCTTATACACCAGACAAGGTGCTCAAGAAACATTTTTAAAACATATTTTTATCATAAAACAATTTCAAACTAATACATGTGAATTCCATCAAGTAGGTATGTCTATGTCCCATTTCGAACTTCACCGATGGCATTTACATCGGTATATTCATATATTTAAGATATATCGAGAGTTTCTAGTGTAAGAAACACCATACAACATTTGCTTTAAAATTCCCCTTTATATTTTCAATATATTCTAGTATGTTTCGCATAAAAGTTAACGAAGTGTGCAACATCAAGTATGGAAAAACATCGTCCAATCACAATCCAATTTTTATTTTAATTTAAGTTGTCCAAACGCAAGGGTGTTAATCACGACATTACCATAAGATACAGAAAAAAAAAACTTTGTTTTGTAATTTATATGTTTTTATAACGTTATATAAAGTTCTATATAAATTATCTATAGCCTAACCGTTCAAACATAATGACACACTTCCTCATGTGCTAAGTATGTGAATTTAGCCAATAAACGGTGATGCAAAGGTATGATTCTCATGAACCATATGGATCCATCCAAATATCGCAAGTTCAATTTATTCTAAATTTTAATTTTTCAAAACCTTGAATCATTTCATTTTTAGCAAAACTCCACATATTATTGCAATTACGTCTAATAGTCAAGTGACTTACGTGACATTTATGTTGTTGAAGAGTCTTTAGGATGAGTTTCATTAATTGGGGTTGTGGAAGTGGTCGAAAAACAAAATTTCTTGAACATCGATTATACGTCCCAATGATGACTTCATTCACCATTGTTTCTTCGACTTTGATTCAGACTAACTTTGCTTTGGAATATAATTTTGAGTGGCTTGTGAACGTCATATTTTCATCTCCCTTAAAGAAGACACCACATTTTTTGCATCGAAACTTTCTTTAGATCACTAGACTTTCATTTTTGGGGTTTAGTCGCAAAACAAAACATTTCGAGATATACCTAGTCGAATACATTGGGCCTAGGCAAGACATCTTGACCATGGATCTAGCTTGGCATGTTAAGTTGTAAACTGGGTACACATCGGCCCAAACAAATGGTAATCAATTCATTTCGAGATATACCTAGTCGAATACATATAAAAAATCCTCAACCCTACGAATTCCTTCAATTGCATAAGTGTTAGTAATTTTGAGCTAATCACTAAACGTTTGGATTAATAAACAAAAAGTTTAAGGTACTCCAAAATGCATCAACTTGTATATTTTACATTGATAAATGTAAAATCACTATGTCCTATCCCTATTTGCAAATAAAACCTAGCATTGTGTTGAGGTGCATAAAAAAACTGGTTTGGGATTAGAAGCTGGTTTTCGATTCAGTTTGAAGCGATCATGTGGTTTTGTATTGGATTGACAGATGGAAGGTTGGAACCTTGTTGAGAAAAAGGTTTTCAAACCTATAAAAAACAGTTTCATATATTATAAATATGTTAAAATTGTTGTTCACATCTATTAAATCTTAAAATTGTTGTTGATACAAGTTTTTGAAGGTTACCAAGATCGATTTTCTTCCTTTTACAATCTCCAATGTCCAAGAAACGTTCTAAAAAACAATTAAAATACAGAAAAGCTGAAGCACCAACACAAATTATAGGTTCAATTTTTCACCCAAGCTAGCTTTGAATATCGAGGGAAAAAATCGAAATGGCTCGGCTTAAAGGACTAATTTCTACACCTCTAACTTTGAGATTTATCTAGAGGGAAACCAAAAATTTAGAATAGGTGGGAATTATCTTTTTTGTACCCCATTTGAATCTACCATATCTAACAAAGATATCAATTTTATCATAAATGGGATTTAAAACGAAACAATAGACTTTAAATATAATAAGATTTTTAGCTAGTTGTGGACTTTTAATCAAATTAAAATAGATAGATTTGGGGCTCAACAAGCACCTATCCCTCTAGTAGCTCCACGACTCACCGTATGGTAACCAAACCCATTACCCATTGGTGTCCTAAACAAATATGATTATTTTGAATTTAACCGCTTAATAGTATAGTAATTAGCATTTTAATACTAATTTTTATATATATATATATATATATATATATATATATATATATATATATATATATATATATATATATATATATATATATATATATATATATATATATATATATATTTTGTTAAAAATGGTTTAAGACACATCCTAGTAAACCACTAGGCAAATATTCAAAACCAACTTTTTACAATACTCTTAATTCTACATATACATACATGTGTGCGGGGAATGAAGGATATGTTTCTGAAAACTTGTTATAATTTGAATGCTGGAGTTTTTGTTTATACCGAAACGTTAATTAGGTAAAAGTAGTGTTAAACTTAAGACGTGTAGCTTTTAAGAAAAAAAATTCAAATTAATAATAAAGTTTTTTTTCGGCTGGACAAATAGAAAACTTTAAA